GCTCTCATGTTGTGGATCCATGGCCTTTCGAAAAGGGCGTTATATCTCATATCGCCTTCGATCACGTGAAACTTTGTTTCCTGTATGGTTCCGGCCACGTTTATTGGTAGGATTATCTCACCCTTGGTGGGTTCGCATGCCATATTGAACCCGTTTAGGACCAGAGTTGCGGGTACGATCTGATCCTGTAGGCCAAGCTGCTCTATTACCTTCAATCGGATGATGTTGGCCGAGCTACCTGGATCGATTAACAAACGCTTAATTTTAGTTTTATTCATGAGTACGGATATTACCAGTGAGTCGTTATGAGATTGGATGACCCCTTCTGCATCTTCATCATCAAAGGACAAAGTCCCCATGTGTGCGTAATCTTGAGCCCGAAATCGCTTTTCCCTTACCATCGATGTTTTAGTGCGTTTAAGTACTGGTCCCTGAGGGGTATCGATGCCACCGATGATCATGTGGATGACGTGTTGCGGTTCTTCTTGCTCATTTTGCTTGCTGAAATCCCTGCTTTTAAAATGGTTCTTCGCCCTATCACTCAGAAATTCCCGAAGGTGCCCTTCGTTAAACAAGCGGGCTATTTCCTCTCTTAGTTGCTTGTAATCTTCCGTTATGTGGCCATGGGTACCATGATATTCGCACGTTTGATTGAGATTTCTTCGGGCAGGATCGGTCTGCATGGGTCGAGGCCATTTAGTGCCTTTGATGCGTCCGATGGCTGACACGAGAGCGGATGCACCAACGCTGAAGTTATATTCTGATAATCGAGGTGCTTCTATAGGATCAACATATTTATCGAAACCGCTCTTACTCATAAGCCCCCGAGAATTTTGTCCTCGATCAATCCTTCGATTATTCCGAACTGTATTGCGTGCTGAACCGTTGTTCACCCGATCTGTGACGTACGGTCGATAACGGTCTCTGTTCGACCTTTGTTCTCTATCGATCTCCTTTTGATTTTTAGTAACTGTCCTGTTCTGATGAACGGGTCCGTACGGAGCTCTCAACTGATCATCCTCGACCCTGATTTTTAATTGGTATCGGTTGTGTACATCTGCCCAAGTTATCGTCGGATACTCGATCAAATTTTGTTTCAGCCGATGTGATGCTGTCGAACTTAGCTCGTTCAACCCTTGGGTGAAAGCTTGTACGGCCCAATCGTCTGTGACCGGGGGGTAATTCCATGCGTTCCATTTGAAATCGGGATACGAATTCGCTCAACATTTCATCCTCCCTTTGCTTTACTTTGAAGAGGTCTGATTTCCTCGTTTCAACCTTTATGGCACCATCATGTGCCTTTACGAATGAATCTGCTAACATGGCAAAAGAATCGATGGAATTCGACGGTAAATTGTGGTACCAGAGCATCGCTCACTTCGAGAGGGTCTCCCCGAACTTTTTCAACAACACGGATTCGATCTCATCGTCTACCAAATCGTTGCCTTTTATGGCACATGTGTAAGAGGTGACATGTTCGCTAGGATCAGTCGTACCATTATATTTGGGAATTTCGGGCATACGGAAGTTTTTGAGGATTGGCTTCGGTGCCGCACTCGACGGAAAAAGCTTTTGTATGAATTTTTTCGAATCAAGCCCCTTTATCATTGGTGGAGCCCCCGGGATTTGATCGACCCTGGCATTGTACGTTTTCACCCTCTTGTCATTGGCTTCTCATTTTGTGAGTTCCTCGAGCAATTTAGTAATTCCGGGAGTAGTCCCCGATTCTTACTCGTTAGATTTCACTATGGCGGGCTCTGTTCTGGGGGTGACTTCTCGAAGTGGATTGGAATCCGGCCTGCTTTGTGCGCGAGTTTGGCTCTGTAGCTGAGCTATCGCTACTTGTTGGGCTTGTAGCATCTCGAAGATCATACGTAAGCTGGCCCCGATTTCTCCCGCATTTTGGGTGTCTCGGGCTACGGATCGAGTACCGCCCTAAATGCTTCTTTTCGGTTCGGAGCGCTGATTCGCCTCCAAAACTATTTGTGAATTGACATCCAATGGTATTTCGGCTTGAATTTCGGGTACTTCGATTTGAGCCTTGGTGCCATCGTTAATTGGCCTTCTGCCCCCAGGTGCCAAGTTGTTGGTTTCATCTTGAAGGCCGGCTTCGTAATCAATCGGTGAAGCCATTTGATTGGTGGTTATTCGTAGCTGATTCGAAATTCAGGATGTTTTCGGAAATAAGTGCAAAGCACAATGGCGTGTTTTTTTAGATTTGTATCAAATAACCACTGTTATCCTCGGCCCCACGGTGGGCGCCAAACTGTTTACCCCAAAAATGGATAGAGTTGAATTTATACGTAGTTCCGAGGATATGTGGCGCAACTTAACACAAAATGTAAGGATCAATAGAAATGTAAATATAGATTGTAGAGAATGCGAAATAGATAAGGTTGTCAGGAACAATGAATCTTAAAATTCAACAAATAGAATCAATGTAAGAAATATGAAAGAACCATTCTTTACTGTAGAAGAATATAACACTTTTATTTCAATGTAAGCCTAAAAAAAAGCTTGTCCTACAGAAATAGTAACCAAGCCTTTTTATAGTGGAGGGAATTGGCTCTAAGCATAATAAAATAAACATTCAGTGGGAGACCCATGATAAGTCAGCTTTTTCATAATTTCTATCAAGATTCTCTCTAGTGGGATTGCAACGGCTTTTGTCTGCGAGCTCGATCTTGCTTGGAACCCTCGATTTTGGTTTGAGCTTGATTTCGGCTCGAACTCGTGATCTTGGTTCGAACCCGTTCCTGGCTCGAGCCCTCGAATTGATTCGAGGTCAATGTTGGTTGGTCTCTGGATTATTAGCATGATAGATCTACTCTGCATCATGGTTCGATTTTGATTCGAGCTCGATAATGATATTGAACCCGATACGGATCGACCTCCCCAGGTTCGAGGTTAGTTTGTTTCACCTTCGGGATCTTACTTCGATAAATCATCGTTCGAACTCGATCGGGCGTGAAATCTATTTCGACCGAATACGGTGATCATAATAATCAATTTAAATCAAAAGTATTTAAAGTATTTTAAAGACAAAAGCACCGTTGCAATTCGCAAGTCGCAACTAGTACATAAAAAATTAAACGTAAAACAACCCTTATATAAAAACCAACCGTACAGTAAACCGAAAGAATCCACTTTGACAGGCGTGAAGTAAAAGCATCGAAAGGCGACCAATCTTAAACAGATATAAACCCAGTTTTCTCGTGTATAAATTCAACAATCAGATCAACTCCATAGCATTCTTATTTATCCGAAAAATATCTTAATCCGACTCCATCTCCTATCTATCTCTCATACACTTAACATAAATCCACAATCAAATTCCCCACTATAACACACACCCAAATTATAAAGAGAGAAATTTTTCGTTCTGTGGTGTTTATTATTGTTTGTGGGTTTTGTAAATAAATGGGGTCAGAATCAGATGAGAGGGAGGTGATATTGGGTGTAGATGGGGGCACCACCTCCACTGTGTGTGTTTGTATGCCACTTCTTCTCTTTTCCGAATTCCCTGATCCTCTTCCAGTTCTGGGCCGCTCCGTTGCTGGTTGTTCCAATTTTAATAGCGTTGGAGGTATTCAAATTCTCTTTTTCAACATATTTCTTTAAGTTTTAGTCCAATTGGCCAGTAGTAAAATATGACCCAATTGAAGTAGAATGGATATAGATGATTAACATATTCTACACCTAACTGGTTTACGATAATTGTCGTTTTCCACTAATGTTTTCTGATTTAAGAGTTGAATATATGAATGAGTCTTTTATGCTTCAAAGGGAAAAGGGGAAAGCTTTTAAATTTGAGTTTAACTTATATACACTATGAGTTTAACAAAAAATTTACACTATAAAAGAAATTTACAGGTATCCCTTCATAAAGTGTGATTTATAATATTTATTGTAATAAGGTAGGTTATCTGCTATGACTGGTAAAGGTGACCTGATGATGTATAAGTGCTTTCCGCCATTGGTGGATATTAGTTAAACTCTTTTAGTTATGTTGGTTGCTTTATTTGCTTCTTTTCCAACATTAAGGGTTTCTGATGCTGTATTTTATGCGGTGGTTTGTTAGTTATTGGAAAAGAAAAAATACTTACAAAGACCTTTTTGGTCTTTGCTATTTAGAATCTAGAGTCTAACTACTCCTTTTGCTTTTCATGGGTGGGGAGGAAGAAGGTAGAAAGAAAATATGTAGTTCATACTAATCAATCTACTACGTCTTAATCCCATATTAGTTTTGAGGTCAACTGTATGAATCCTCCTGCGTATCCATTGCCCTATCTGGGGTATTATGCACATGGGTGGATGTGCAAAATCCAAATAAATTGAGGATTCATCATAGTTATATTATTTTTATGTTGCTTGTCAATCTAACCTGACCATCCTACTTTACATGGGCTTGAGATCGGCCTCACACAGCGGAGTTAAGTAGCTCAATGAATCAGCAACTATGTGTAGTTCAGTAGGATAGTTGTACTTGAGCATATGCTGCCAACAACAACAACAACAAACCCAGTATATTCCCACGGGTGGGGTTTGGGGAGGGTAGTATGTACGCAGACCTTACCTCTACCTAGTGAAGGTGGTAGCATATACCGCCAAGATTTGATTTATTGTCTCATGTGTTGAACATGCTTTCTAGAAGTTATTTTAAGCATGAATGGTCATCATTGCACGTCAATCTATTTAATGCAAAGTTATGTGATGAGCAGAATAATGTTGTATATTTCTGTGGATTTCAACTGTTGATCAATTGTTGAAGTATGCTAGGTCAACTGCTAGAACTGTTTTCCTTATGGTTGAAGTAATGTCAGAAGAAAATATTCTTGATTCCTAATAGATATGAGTTTCTGTAGCCATTTCACTCTTGGTCCATGTTTACAGAAGATGTAGCTAGAGAAACACTGGAAAAGGTTATGGCAGAAGCATTGCTTGATGCTGGTGTGAAACGATCAGCTGTTAAAGCAGTGTGTTTGGGTCTATCCGGTGTGAACCATCCAACGGATCAGGAGAAAATATTAGGCTGGTTGAGGTTTGCTACTCATCTGTTAAAGCTCTTCTTGTTGTGGTTGTGGAGTTAATCTTGTACTTCAGGTGTAACTTTTGAATTTAGTATCAATATTAGGCTGCTGACATTTGCCTCATTATTTTAGTTGCATCCTGTTTGCATCTCAATCAAAGGGTTGAATATGTAGTCAATCTGGTACCCATCATATTTTTGTTTGTTTGTTTCTTTTGTTTTGGTGGGATGATATCTTTCCGTGCTGCCTAGGTATGCTGGAAACTTTTTTTATCTGTGGCATTTGTGCACCAAAGCTGCTTGTTCTGTGTGAAATCTAGATCTGTTTTCCCTATGGCATTTATTATGGTCTGAAAATCAAAATGTAGTAGAGCAATCACCAACATGAATGCAATATGTTGAGCCAGTTTGGAAATCCTTTTAGTAAAGTATTTTACTCTTTATCGTATTTTGATTTTGGATAAATTTGTAAATTGGTATATTTTACAGAGAGATCTTGGTTACTGAGGGAGAGTGCGATGCTCAATGACATCTGCACAAATGAGAATTATATAAGGAGTATTCAAATTTCTTAATAGTTCATAGTGTGTTTTCTCTCCTATAACCTTCATGATTTTAGCACTCAAGGGTGTGACGTAATAGCCAATGAAGTGGGTTGAGAACCACGAGGTCTCATGTTCAAATCACAGCACTAGTTGATTTCTTCCTGTTTGTCCAAGCCTTGGTGGACAGAGTTACCCATCACTTGTGTTGGTGGGAGGTAGCAGGTAACCCGTGGAATTGGTCGAGGTGCGCGCAAGCTGGCCCGAGCATGGTTATAAACAAAAAAGACCTCATTTTATCAAGGCAATCTAGAAGCTATTTATACTGATCTACCCTGCACATACTTGGGAAAATACACCAATTTTGGAAAGTATGTGTCTTCCTTTCTAGCCAAGTGCTCTGTTCCTATTGCTAATGTCAGTTTTAAAGTATTGACCTTTGCTTAGCATAATTAAAACCTGAAAATCCTATCAGGAAAATTTAGTCGGTTTTATTGGAATGCGTTATTTTCACTACTCTAGACCTGTCAAGAACTGCCACAAGCTTTTCAAAGGTGCTCAAGCTTTTGAGGAGTCTTAAGTTATACAAGATAAGAACCTGAAAATAAGCCCACTAGTAAATAAACGTTTATTTATCCTAAAGTTCCGGTACATATGAATACAACAAACCCAGTACTTTCCCACAAGTGGAGTCTGGGGAGGGTAAGATGTACGCAGCCTTACCCCTACCCCGGAAGGGCAGAGGCTGTTTCCGGTACTTATGAATGAGAAATATATTCCTCTGCTCCAAATGCTCTATATAAACCTGAATAATCCTAAAGTTCTAGACTTTTGGTACATAAGAATGTGAAATTAGTTGCTATATTTTTCTGCCCCCAATTGATTCCTGAGTAATGAAAGTCTCAAGGTTCAGATTTGCAATTTAATGAAATTTAAGTAATAGTACAACAACTATGGGTTGATCCCAAGTTTGTCGGGGTCAGCTGTATGAATTATTACTTTCTTTTTTTGGCTCCACTTGGACCAGTTTCGTATTCAAGTCCTATGTATTTTTATATTGTGAGAATTCACATCGACTGGTGCCACGCTGGCCGAACTGCAACTCTTCTGTCTCATCCGAGTTTGGGACAAGCGGACAAGCATAGTAAACAAGCTCACACGGCCACAATTAGTTTCTTGAAGTCCAGTTAATCGAGGAAAGAAATTAATTTGTTGACATCTTTGTGTAGAATCTCATGAGTGCAGCTATCAGTTCCATTTTCAGACTACACAGGGCAGTAGGTGAATAACTTTAACTTTATCTTCAAACCTGATCTTAATGCAAATAAGAGGACAGCAAAACCATTAACTTATTTAAACTAACAAGACCTAGTTTACAGTAAAACCACTTCAGTAATGTTAACTGCTTTGTTTTCTCAGTAACTGAGAAATCTGCTGTTTCCAGCTTAGAAACTTGGTGGAGTAATGGGTCCGCGTCTTTACCCTTTTCCACTAAAAAATTTGACTTGTCCCACCAGCCAGGGTTCAAACTCGTGAGGTGCTCTTGGCTTACATCCCGTGCTGTACTACCTTTGCCAATGAATCAAAGCCCTGGGGGCTATAGTACCAAGCAGTTTAACATAGTTGTGTCTTATAGGCTAACTGTTTCAAAACTATGGGACATTGGGACCTTGAGCTAGTTGTTCCAAGATTATGGGACATTTGGACCTTGACATGGGAAATACTTTATACGCGTGATAATGATGTATCTAGAATATTTATTCAAAATGTCTATGTTAGAATAGCTATGTGAATATTTTTTTTTTGATAAGGTAAATTGTATTAATCAAAAGGGAGAGAACTCCCGTATACACGAAGTATACCAAAGACGTAGATAATTTACATCAGAACATGATTCTCTACAAAAAACGCCCAATCTTCTATACAAGTAGGGGCTAAATGAGTGCACCAAAAAGCGATCAAAGATAAAAGACTATTCTTAAGATGTGAAAAAGGAGACTCAATCTCCTCAAAAGCTCTCCTATTTCTCTCCCCCCATACTACCCACATGAGAGCTAACGGGGCGAACTTCCACGCCTTCTGCTTTCTTCTTCTACGGAAACCGCCCCAGCTATGTAACATTTTCTTTACAGTGCTTGGCATCACCCATTGAATACCAAAAAGATTCAGGATTGCCCTCCACAAAGCAGAGGACACAGGGCAATGCAACATAAGGTGATAAGCTTCTTCCCCTGAGCTTTTGCACATGTAGCACCAACTAACAAGTGTAATTCCCCTCTTTCGGAGATTTCAGCAGTCAAGATCACTCCCGTTGCCGCTAGCCATGCAAAAAAGTACACTTTCGTGGGCGCCCTAGGAATCCAGATCGAGGAGTATGGAAAAGTGGTCTTCTCTCTCACCAATATACTCTGGTAAAAGGACTTTACGGTGAACAAACCATCGCCACGCAAGCCCCATCTCCAAGAGTCACAGGATGGCTGAAGCCTGTCTTGCCCGTATAGCAGCGCCAACAAAACTTGGAGCTCCGCAATCTCCCAATCTTGCATGTTCCTCCTGAATGAGAGGTCCCATACTACCCCCTTCATGCTCCTTGCGAATCTGTTGGACCATCAGTTCTTTCTGGTTTGAAACTCTGAA